GATTTATTGAAAACGGACCAAATTAGGAGTACCCTTAACCGACGAGCATGTATGCGGAGGTGTATGGATGTGAAGGAGGCGAGAGAGGTGTGTCAGGATCGTGCCAAATGGAAGTCTGTAGTCTCTGCCTACCCCTCTGGGTGACAGGCGTGAGTGTTTATGTCTATTTTATGTTTTATTATATTAAGAAAAATCGACCAATCGCATCGTATCCTATCGTAGAATTCTCTAGAAGTTTTTAATTAACTGCGTAATAGTTCATACTAAAAACAATGAAAATAATTTTATGTTCTAAAAGAGTTGTAAATATGACATTGAATTAGCATATGGCTTATAGATTAAGAAAGTGTAGGAATATTTTGTATAATTAAACGCATTTGGTAATTATATAAAAATCAAAGAATTAATGTACCCAAATATTATGAAAATTTGGGACATTTCGTTTAATAACTTTTTTAGAATGTTTCTTATGTTTTGTGTAACACTTTACATGATATACTAATAAAGTGCCAGACTACCGATTTGACGATGTGTAGCATGTTAGTATAGCAATTAGTTTTGTATAGAAAATATTGTAATTTATGCCATTTGCATAGTGAATAGTTTATGCAATAAAGAGGCAAAACGGAAAATGGCAAGCGGCTCACTGTAAAGTATAGCCAAAGTCTACCTTAGGGGCTCGGGACCCAGTAGGAGTAGTAGTGTGAAGAACTACCAGTGACAAGCAGTAGTATCCGGTAGTAGCTGAAGTGACTAGTAGCAGTATATAGTGTAATATTGAAAGTGTTAGCTAGCCGAAAAAGGTCGTAACTGATATTCGCAGTTACATATAGTGAAAGTGTGAGCTAGCCGAAAAAGGTCGTAACTGATATTCGCAGTTACATATAGTGAAAGTGTTAGCTAGCCGAAAAAGGTCGTAACTGATATTCGCAGTTACATATAGTGAAAGTGGTAACTGATATCCGCAGTTAAACAAGTGATAAAATCAGCTAGTTTAGTTGATAATAGCTGCTAGTCAGTAGTGTTAGAAAACCAGCTACTACCAATATATTTGATACTAACGTACAATTTAAAGAAATCTTTTGAAATATACAGTGACCAACCAATAGTGAACAACCGTAGTTCAACAACCGTGGTCAATAAACAATAGTTATAAAATTTCGCGACTCAACGTCAATCAGTCGAACCGCTGGCTACTACCTTGCTATTTGTATTTATGAATCGTGCAATTTGAATTGAACCTCAGTCCACAATGTCTCAGCGGCACCCACAAAGACGGCAGTGAAAGTACCCACCGGAACCTATAGGTCTAGGACGTGAGCGACTCGGGAAGTATCTTCGACAACATTTACTCCGAAGAGTTTCGCCCGTCCGGCACAGAAGTGTCGAAGTGTACCTATAGTATCATCTGTTCAAACCATTAACAACAATGAAGACAACTGATAACTATCATAAGTGCGACTGTCACCAAATTCCAAAATTTTAGCTTAAGCGTCTTTACTGAATTATCAGTTACACTTGCAAATATTATTTATGGCATTAACGAAAAAAAAATTGTTTTAAAATATTCTATATATTGTCGATCTGTACTTCTGTGAAATTAAGAATGTGTTTATAAAAGCCTGTGTAATTTTAAATAATTTCTTCTTCTCCTTCTTCAAGACCCCGTAGAAGTCTAATGAACTGTCGGTGAAGAGCTCTTCAATCCGGGTAAGACACATCATTGTATTTATTTAGCGGAAGATTGCAAAGAAATTTATATTTTTATTTTTATTATAATGGATTTCCGCAAAGTAAAGCCTGATTCTATCAATTAACGTTAATTTTTGATAATATTCTAGATGTGGTTTGTTTTTGCGTCGGTTATATTTACTAATTTCTTGTTTCTTTAACGTTTTGATGCAAACATCATAATCAAATGTCGTTAAAACTGCCTTTAATTCACTGGAAGATGTGTCTATGGATTCGTTTATGTCATGGTGATCGGAGCGTTTTTGTTAGTGGTTTAATTTTATTTGCAAATACTAGTCAATACTGGCTTACAAAATGATTTATTATATTTATTTTATACGATATTTATAAGCTGTATGAAAAATTAGGGTTTTGAATTTTTGGAAACAAAACACAGTTGTTTTATAGAAAATGTCTTTTCATTTATTGTGATATGTTTATGAAATATATATTCATAGAGGGTTGAACCCAATATTGAGTGGAATTCTCGAAGAGTTTTTACAGTAGGTAGGATCATGACTTGGTAATAAATAAAAATAGGTAAAAAAACTTTTTAAGTTAAACGGATTTATGTTAAACATACATTGCAATGTTTAAGATAAATGTACTAAAAACCAAAAAATAATAAAATAGATACAGTCGTGGGAATTACAAACATATGCATAGACTAGACTTAAATAAAACCGTGGGGCACGTCAATTGTCTACAAATTATCGACTTAATGTGCGATAGAGGAATCGTTTAATTCGTCGTTAAAATAGGCAGTTGGCCCGCAGACGGTGAGGAAATTACTTACTATTTTCTTGCTCATGGAAATTCCAATAGTTATACACTCCATGTAAATAAAAGAGATGTTTCAACTAGTTTATCGTTGGACATTCACACTGCTGGCTGGCGAGGAATCGTTTCACTGCTCGTAGTTTGTCTTTAATCGACAAAACATATGATAAAAGTACTACTCGTTCACCACTATGAAACCCTAAAACTCGCTTATAATCGAGCTTGCTAGCTTGTTTCCACATTCTAGCCCTACTTATCACACGTCCATCGTTGTCGGTTGAACAACTGCCAAATTATAGTGCAACATTACAAAACAAACATTTTAATCAACGATTGTAGACAATTGACGTGCCCCACGGTTTTATTTTAGTCTATTCTATGCATATGTTTATAATTCCCACGACTGTATCTATTTTATTATTTTTTGGTTTTTAGTACATTTATCTTAAATATTGCAATGTATGTTTAACATAAAACCGTTTAACTTAAAAAAGTTTTTTTACCTATTTTTATTTTCTAGTTTTTAGTTTTTATTTCGCATTCTGTTTAATTCATTTAGTGCTTCATTATTGCAAGGTTTCTTGCCCGTTAGTTTATTGCAGTCCAACTCCTCTATACGTAGTCCCTGCAAAGATCTTACTCTACTAAGAGCCACGTAGGCTTGACCTTCTTCAAACAGTTTCGCACCTAAGTATACGACTGCGTGATCCACAGTGCTGCCCTGCATTTTATGTATTGTAGAAGCCCATGATAGTATTAAAGGCAACATTCTTCTTTCAGCCGTCCCGTAATTGTACTTAGCTGGAAACTGTATGGCTTTCGGATGTATAAGATGTACTCCGTCTCTTGCGAAATCAATTCGGACGGAAGGTACATCTGTTGCATACATCTGAGTTCGACGAAATTGAGGCCAAACGATTTCGTTGATGTAGCCTATAGCGCCATTTACTAATCCCTTTGAAACGTAAATATTGGACCGTAGCATGACTTTTGCCCCCACAAATATTTGCAGTTCCGCTGGTAGACCCCCAGTTTTGTTGATATCAGCTGGTATTATAGTAGCTATATCCACATTGTCTGCATTTCGTGTGGCGTGTACTAGCTGATTCTGCGCTTTTTATTTTGTAAATGCGAGCACCATTATTTCTGTACAAATTCAATACAGCAGAGTTGTGGTCGTTAACTTGTTGATTTGTGGGGTATACCCTTAACGCTTTGTCTATTGCAAACTCATCACTCGTGTCTTGAAGAAGTCTTCCCATTAAAATACTAAAATGTTGGGTTGTTAGCTCACCGACTCTCAAAGCATTCAAAATATCAATAAAAGTCTGGTCACCTTGCTGACGCATATTTTCAGTTAATTCACACAGCGTGAATAAACGCCAGAGATGTGTAGCTGGTTGGAGATGTTTTGGCTGTTTGAAAACAGGTGTTCCTGATCGTTTTATAGGAGGCAGTTGTAAAAGATCACCGAAAAGTAATACGTTTACTCCTCCAAAAAACTCATTTTCACAGCATCAGACAGAATTTTTGATTGTCGACGAGATTTCCATGGTATCTTATCAAATGTTATGCATGATGGACGCTCGATTAAGGCAAATTAAGAACTGTGAAAATGAGTTTTTTGGAGGAGTAAACGTATTACTTTTTGAGAGATTGCCTCATTATTCGCAAATAGTTTCCGGACAGTGGTGACATACCTGTTATGCGACCGTCTTTCTGTACAGGCAATTTTAAAGTACTGTGTATCGTAGCTCCATTTATTAATCTAGCTGCAACTCCTGTTAGTGACCAGACTTTAACCGCATCCTTTGCGTAGCACCTATTAATTTGGTCTCGTAATAACTTTATTAGAAAAGTCTTGCCCACACCAGCTCCTCCTGTAAAGAATATTTTTAAACGTTCTTCAGCACCTGATATTTGATTTTGTATGGACTGGGTAACTAATGTAAAAATTTCCTTTTGTTCTGCATTCATAGACTGCTTAGCCTGTAAGAACTGGTCTTCATTCATTGGCAAATAAGGAACTTCTTCTTCATGGTCTAGTTCCATCGGCTCTGCGTGTTCCAGTATCTGAAATGCGTGTACTTGCGTGAATGCATTTTAAAGCTGCCTGTCACGTTCACGATATATTTCCAAGTAGGCTTTTGTTTGTCTTAAACTTTCTTCGTTGGCGAGAAACGCATCTCTGGCACTATTAAATTCTCCTAAAAGTTCGGCCTCATTGCGATACGGCATATACTGGATTAGTAAACTGTAATAATATGACTCTGGATCAGAAGCTGCTACGAAGTTAGGTACCCGTACTACAGCTCGCGTGTTTCTAATAGTCATTTTGGTGTTGTCTGTTAAAGTTAATAATAATAATAATAATAATAATAATAAATTTATTGACATATAGATTTAACAAATGTAAGCAAGAACAGTAAGCTAAACATCTAAACAATGTTCAAGGTGAGATATACAAATATTTTCCGTTGGACCCCAAACTAGGATAATCCTGTATCTTGGGGTCCGAGAACGACACGCCCGCACGAGCAAACAACAAGAAGGCGAACAAGACGCCTTCTTGTTGTTTGCTCGTGCGGTGCATAAGCATCGGTATCGATGCTCTCTTCATTTATAACTGGCGGTTTTGTGTAGTGTGGCTCAAATAACATCGCAAATTCTATGAGACACATATTGTTAAAATCATAGTTGGGATGCTCTGCTGGTCGCTTTTCATATCGTTCGAAAATATTGGCACAATATCCTGCTGCTTGACCAGCTTCATTAAACTTCAACACTTTATACCTTTGTTCCACTTTACGAGTATTGACAAAAATTGTTTTCCTCGAGCTGTCACGCATACTCAAATGGCATAGCCTGAATACGCATTCGCAGGCTGAAACTTGACGTTCTCTTAATATGCGCATGCATATTTTAAACAGCTTACGCGAGACGTCAGTTTCTTCTCTTCTAGTTTGTTGAATAGCTCGAGATACTTCACCATCTAGGTTTGTAGGTTCTGATTTTGACACGTATTTAGCGATGTAATACGCAATCGACTCATTTGTACCACACGGTTGTATATCCATATTGGCTTTCCACATTTTTAGCAAAGCAGGACTGTAATTATTTACCCAACCATCTTCACTTTTTCTTTTCAGAACGCAAATGCGACCACCGTTGTAGATGAATTCGTTAGATGAAGGATCAATAACATGTGTCTCTAAGCATTCCGGGCGTGGAAAGTTGAAACGACAAACAGAATTATTTTTCGTGCAGGTACTAGTGTGTCGATGTATTTGACAATTTTTAACTAATTCATATAGTTCTGAAGTTTCTGGAGGAATGGCAGTACTACAGACTGAATCAATTCGAGCTATTCCTTCAGGTGTCGCAACAGACGAGTGATCTTCGACCCAAACAACCATATGCAAATGAGGACTTCCTCTGTTCTGAAACTCGATTTGCCACCAATGATATTTAACTTTACCGCCAAATATTTCGGTATCAGTTTTAAGAAACTGCATTAGCGCATTAACACGTACCATAAAATGTCTACTCACAACAACTGGATACATCTCGATGAGTCTCTGAGTTTCCTGAATATCTATGTCATCTGGGTCAATGTGCTGTTTAGCATCACTAACAAGGAGACCTCTTTTCATATCCTTCTAGTGAAGATCATTGCAGCTCAATGTAAGAAAATAAGTGGGAGGTCCTAAACATCTGATTTGTGCTATAAGATCACTAAGAGCACTACGCCAATAAGCAGCGGAACCTCTTAGATTTTTTAAATATAAGTGCAGGTCTTCCACTCGATTGCCGTTTTCACCTTCAACTTTTCTAGCACAAGCTGCAATGGTTGATTTAACTCGATAGTAATCAAACATTGATAGAGCATAGAATAGGTAATCGTTGCGCTGAAATCTAACATCAGCAACTAATAAACGAAATTGATAGTAATCCAAAGGACTTATATTTACGGGCCGTTGTTCTTTCAAACCATTTTTACCATACGGGAAAAGCTGATACCATGCGAACTCTTCTGCTTTTAACTCATAAGCTTCATTCACAATATTATTATTCGTCTTTCTTCTGATTTCGTTTACATTTTCAGATACCTCTAGCTCATCTTCAACATCAGGTTGTACGCTATCAATAGGCAACATTACAGATGTTTGTATAGGTATAGTTTCAGATCTCAGATTCGAAAGCGGTTGTTGTACTTGTACATCCTGATGAGTGATGGCATCTTCCTGTTGCTGTACTTGAACACCCTGACGAGTGATAATATTTTCCCTCAAATGTAAGTCTACGCGTGTAAGGGTGTACGCGATGTTACGGGATCCGAGGCATCTTTTACAGATGCGGCACAGTTCTTGTAAGTTTTCGCATTCTATAACACAGGCTTTGCCATTTTCTGGTGTTGGTTTTCCTTTTTGGGCCACAAGAATGGGAGTCAGCAAAATAGTATTTGTCTTCACCGTGAAATACGCTAACAGATTTATTTGACGCTGTCAATATTCCTGAAGAATGACTATCAAATAATCTATTTAAAGCTGTATGTAATGTAATGCCGATATTATTGGTATTTACAGAATCTTGGAGACTCCCGAATAAAAGAGTGTCTTCATCATATTCTATAGAAAATCGGCATTCATACATTTGTAAACTTTGCCTGACGATATGAAAGTTTCGAATCTCTAAATATCCTGTTTCATCCAGTTCAGTAGGATCAAGCTGGGTACGAATCCAGTAATATAAGGAGTCACCCGCTAACATATTAGCATTCAGAATATTGACGTCCCATTGATTAGGGCTTAGGATTGCAGCTCGGACAATGTTCGCCAACGACATAGCACTACATTGTACACCAGCATATCGCGAAGTAAAGACGTTGTAGTCACCTTGATGCCATGAAGCTCGAATAATTCTTGCAACATTATTAATTGGAATGAATGCATTTCGAATTTCATTTTCATTCCTTTCGGACGCTTCATCTTCAGACAATTCGGGCACACTAAGTCGTACTAACTCCTGGTCACTAATTTGGGCATTGTCGTCAATACGTACATCTTTGTAAAGCGGGTTATTTCTGATTAACCATCTTAAAGCACTATAGACTTTTTTCGCGACATATTGTGAATTCCCTGGTGATGTTCAAATTTTCTAATCGTTCGGTTACTACAATAATGCCTACCTGGCTTGCAGATCTTGGTAGCATACTATGCAGTCTTTCACTGACTTCAAAGATATCTTGGGCAAATAAAACTGCCTGTCCGCGAAAACCGTACTGCCCATAGAGGCCACTAAATTTCACGATTTTAACAAAGGGAATTATTCTGCACAGCAAACGTTATTCCGCCTGTATCAATATTTGAATAAGGTCTGGTATAGAACCTGGATCCAGATTATTCCAGTAAGCTTTTGGTGGTGCTGTTGTTTTATTACTAGTAACATGTGTTTGACAGCGGGAACATAATAACAATGATATTTTCGAAGTTAACTCCACAGGTAAGTATGTTAATGCAGCAGCGTTGTACTGAACTGTATGAACTTGATTAGGATAACAACGTTTGGTACAAATATCACAAACATGTATACAAATTGTGTTAATAGCATTCTCGAATGGGGTACGCTCTTTTACCCCTGCAGATTATTAGCTCTGCATTGCTGGGTACGCTCTCGTTGTTTATTTAACCTCGTATCGCGATGTTCAGGCGTTTCTGAACTCAACTGCTGTCTTTGTCTTTCACGGCTTTGTATTAATCTAACTTCATATTCTTCAGGCGTTTCTGACGCTACCATCTGTGTATATCGCTCCCGTTGTTTTGTTAACCTGGCTTCATATTCTTCAGGCGTTTCTGACGCTATCATCTGTGTGTATCGCTCCCGTTGTTTTGTTAACCTGGCTTCATATTCTTCAGGCGTTTCTGACGCTATCATCTGTGTGTATCGCTCACGTTGCTTTGTTAACCTGGCTTCATATTGTTCAGGCGTTTCTGACGCCGTCATTTGTGTATATCGCTGACGTTGCTTTTTTAACCTGGCCTCATGTTGCTCAGGTGTTTTTGACGCTAATTTTTCCCATCGTTTCTGTAATCAACTATTTCTACCACCTTCACTTTCTTTAGCTCGTTTTGCTTTATACTTTTCTTTCGCTTTTTGAAGCCTTCGTTTACGTTGTGTTGCAGTTACTGTTTTATTTGTGTTTGTATTTTTTTTTTACCATTTTGTTCCCACGAGTAATAGACATTTAAACGGTCGACCCCCCCAGAGGTCCAATAAAGGGGCAAGGCTATGTACAACAAGATGCGCCTGAGTCTTGAGGGGAAAACGCTAACGACATATCATTTTTATCCACCCTAATGCCATACAGTTCTCGGCGCGTTTTAACCTTTCACCTTAACTTGGGTGGTGTACCGCTAACGACGTATCATTTTTTAGCCACCCTAACGCCACACAGTCCTCAACACGATACAAAATCTTGACTTGGGTGGTGGATTCAGGCTGGATTAATCAGATACCTAAATTACAGATTCAATTTCTAAATTTAAATCTTATTATTATACGCCATTGGGTGGCTGCGCCCATCTTAATTATTAAAGTTGTATAGTGCACTGTATTCTTCTTGTCAAGCCCTTTTATTTGATACCCATATTGGTGGGATTGATAAAAAATTGTGATCAGCCATTTGGTAGCGGCGGCCATCTTAGATTTCAATTTTGCATAGTAAATTGTATTCTACTTGTTGAGACCTTTCATTTGATACCCATATTGATGGGATCGATAAAACCTACGTTATCCGCCATTTTGTAGCGGCCGCCATCTTGTATTTCAATTTTTTATAGTATATTGTATTGTGTTTGTGGAGCCCTTTCATTTGATACCCATATTGATGAGATTAATAAAACATAAATTATCCGCCATTTTGTAGCGGCGGCCATCTTGAATTTATAATGATAATGAATAAACATAATTGTATTGTCAACAAAATCCAAAGTGTATACAAAATTTCAGATTAATCGGTTGACAGGTAGAGGGTGAAATTTGAATTACTAAATTTGACCCAAGAATAATAAATAAAACAAACGGGGTGAGCTAAATAAAACCGTTTACAAATAAAAACAGTCTCGGCAATGTAAGTTTATTATTATAAAATAAATTCGTAGAAAATCTTACTATTGTAGGAAAGTAATATTTCTCCCTCCATAAAAACAAGGATTGTTTTTAAAATAAAAACATCATGATATAATATATAGAAGTATAAAAAAAGTACTTCCAAAGTGTTACCAGTATTAATAATGAAATGATTTTGTGCACTGTGGTGTCGGCCTAAGAGAGTCTATCATCTCATTTCATCACAAGTTACCGAAGGTGTGGCTATAGGAAATGCTAGAAGAATCTTATGGCTTCCGATTTATGGCGGCATAGTCATCTTTTCTACTCCAGATGTAAAAATATATAGACCAGCGATTGGCAGCAACTTTAAAGGTGCAAGATATCTAATAGTACGATCGTCAGCCCACCTGCCAAACTTGACGATTAAGGTGACGGTGGGAGTCCATGTCCAGCAGTAGACTATAACTTGCTGATAGTGATGAAATTATTTTATGTAAGAAGTAAGTTGCTTGAAAAAGGTTTGATATCGTTAGATGATTTCAGGCTAATCATTTTAAGAGACATACACAGATAGTGAGTGAGGGTTCGTATCTTTATATGATCTTCGACATTTTTCATCCGGAATATCTTGAAGAAAAATGAAAAACTCTAGATCAGTTTTATTCAACACATAATTACATTATGAAAAACGTAATACCAAAGAAAAATTATTTACATACCATTATATGATACTACTTAAACATGGGTCACCCAAGCATGTTCCACAAAACACGGTCCAAACCCAATCTTACCCAATTTATATCTAAATCTCTTATCTAATCGACCTCCTGCATATCTTACTGGGTCCATCTTGTAGGATGCCGCCCTATACATTACCCACCGTATAAGACTGACATTTGAGAATCTTTCTAAAAAATCCTTTTGTAACGGAGTAAAACCTGACTTTTGTTTTATTATTGGTATTTTGCATAGATTTCATAATTCCAAACTTCTTCATAGAAAAGTAGTCTATAAATATAAGTTTTAATGGTTTAACGTGCTAGGGGTGGGTGCGATCGAATGCGACCGCTCGGGATTTGACGGACGCATCCAACTGCAGGGGATTGTTATGAGGATTGAAGGGTTAAAAAATTGATGGATCAATAACAGAAGAGTGAGGAGTGTAAGAATGGCGGTTCTATTCTAGTTAATGCGTTTTAAGTTGTCTTTGAAATATGCCGCCTTGAGTTGCATTGACAAAATAATATAACAACCAATCTGTTGGCCATAACACATAAGTTATTTTAATTGTTTTTTTTTTCTGTTTATATTGTAGCGTCATGTATCTGAGAAAGAATAATAAACGAAGACACCTGTCATCCTAATTATATTTTTGTATGTCAATTCTGTCTTTATAAAATTATGTAACATTTTATTATAAAGATGTTAATTAATTTGCAACCTTCCGCTAACTAAATACAATGATGTGTCTTACCTGGATCGAAGAGCACCACGCCCTCCCTCATTTGCGTGCACCAATCCCGTCACTACTAATCTCAGTACCACTAATCCCAACACACTACTCCCGGCACCACTACTCCCAACACCAATATTCCAGGAAAGACACACCATCGACGATAATACGACACGTGTTTCGCCTCTACACGAGGCATCCTCAAGTGATGTAGATTCTACGGCGGCTCACCGCCTCCGTAGAGGCGTCTTAGCGTAGGGGCACCTTAGCTTGATATTGGTGGTCACATCTTGTTTCACCAATGAGAGGTGCGCTCCGCTTACGTGGAAGTGGATACGGTATGAATAGTAAAAAGGACGTGCCCTGCCATTGTTCACCCAGTGCAATTCATCAAGGCCAGTGCAAAACAGTTTTCGTCACCTCCGCAAGGCAGTAGAGAGGGTGCTCGCAGATTCCCCAGTTGAGTGCCCATTCCTTAATTTTGAGCTGTTTTATTTTTATATTTTGTTGTGCCTTTTTCAGAAGCAGCTCATATTCCTTCGTGTCGGCTAACGCATTGTATTAAATTTATAGCAAGTATATTGTCCTAAGTTCACCATGTGCCATGTCCGCCATTTTTTAGGTTCATTTTGAAACGCGCTAATACCGTTCAGCTAATTGTTTGCCCCGCAGTACTTTACGTCATTCGCGCAACCAGATTTTATTTATTATCATAAGAAGAGTAATTTTATTTGCAGTTCTCATATTATAAAAAACTATCTTAAATAAAAGACGTTTACGCCTGTTGTTGGTTTGGTGTAAATGAGATACTATAATAAATTATGTTTTTTTTTAAACATTATTATCGTTTATTCACATGAAATCAGCTCTCTAAGATAATGTGGGTTTTTTTTTATAGAAGAGGGGGCAAACGAGCATGTGGCTCACCTGATGTTAAGTGACTACCGCCGCCCACGATCAACCGCAACACCAGGGGAATTGCAGGTGCGTTGCCGGCCCTTTAGAAAGGAGTAAGCTCTTTTCTTGAAGGTCCCCAGGTCGTATCGGTCCGGAAAAATCACCGGTGGTAAATTATTCCACAAAGAGGTTGTACGCGGAAGAAAACTCCTTTTGAAACGTACAGTGGTGGACCGCCAAGCATCCAGATGGTGTGGATGGTATCGGGACGTTTGCCGTGTAGTGCGTTCACGAAATTTGGCGGCTGGGATTAATCCGAACAATTCCTCAGAGCACTCCCCGTGATAGATGCGATAAAATACGCAAATAGATGCAACATCTCTTCGCAGCGCCAGTGAATCGAGCCGATCGGAAAGCACTCGGTCGTCGATGATTCGAGCCGCTCTGCGCTGGATGCGGTCAAGTGGAAGGAGCTGGTACTGGGGAGCCCCAGCCCAGAGATGGGAACAGTATTCCATGTGCGGCCGAACCTGCGCCTTGTAAAGTTGCAGGCGGTGTGCCGGCATGAAATACTGTCCCCCCGCTCTGCTGAGCACGCCAAGCTTTTTAGAGGCCAATTTGGCCTTCCCTTCCAAGTGACCACGAAACTGCACGTCACTCGATATGTCGACGCCGAGGATTCCGATACTGGCTGAGGCAACAAGGGGAGTGCCTTGAAACTGAGGGGATACGACAAAGGGGTTCTTTTTAGCGGTTAACGCGCAAACTTGTGTCTTCTGGGGGTTAAACTGGACTAGATTTAGTCGCACCCAATCCGAGACTCTGTCCAGCAGAGACTCGACTTCAGACACAAGTTTGTCCCGGCACTCAGAGACGTTTTCCCGAGAAATATTGGCTCGGCCGGTGTAAAGAGCATCACCAGTGCTGTCATCTGCATAGCAATGAATGCTACGGGTTTGCAACATATCATTGATATGCAGAAGAAACAGCGTTGGCGATAGCACGCAGCCCTGTGGAACACCAGCCTTAATAAGCTTGCAATCGGAGCTTGCACCGTCTACAACGACCTTGATGCTCCGATCTGCAAGAAAACTGGTGATCCAATCGCACAATTTCTCGGGAAGCCCATAGGAAGGGAGCTTCGAAAGAAGCGCTTTGTGCCAAACCCGATCGAAGGCCTTCGCAATGTCCAAACTAACGGCCAATGCCTCCCCCTTGGACTCTAACGCCTCCGCCCATCTGTGAATTAGGTAGACCAGAAGATCACCAGCTGACGTACCACGGCGAAAACCGTATTGGCGGTCACTAATCAGCTGGTGATCCTCAAGGTACCTCATGAGCTGGCAGTTTACAATGGACTCCATTGTTTTGGAGAACAAGGAGGTGATGGCGATAGGCCGATAGGTGGGTTGTTGGTTTTAACTATTATGCTCTAATCTGATATCTACTAGTCATTAAAATAAAGTCGTAGCGGTGATACTAAAACATATCTTCCTTCACTTATTACTCATTAACCCAAAAGAATGGACTAGAATTTCAATAG